CTCACACACTCACTGCGGATGCCGGTTCTGACGGGTCTGTCAGTGCTGGAGATGATCAGTGGGGTGTTCTCTGGGTGGCGTTTGGCTGCGTTCACTCCAGACACTTGTTTGAACTCAATGTAGGCCACTCTGAAACACTGCACACACACACACAGAGTTATGATGATGATTTGGTGAAGGTGTCAGTAATCTGGTGCTTGTGTTGCGGCTGTGAAGGCGTCACCTGTCTGCGTCTGGAGGTGAAGTATCTGGACACACCGCTGCCGCTCGCTCCAGACGCTCCTGGTCTCTCGCTCAGCTCCACTGACTGCAGCGGACCGAAGCGGCTGAAGACGTCTGTCATAACACTCTACAAACACACACACAACCACACAGCTTCAGATCACAGCCACAGCACGACTGAAGAGTCCTCTGCCCAATGCGTCCGTGTACATGTGTGAACTCAAGGTCAAACTGAGCGCACTGCATTGTGGGATACAGCGGTCTGAGCTTTGTAATCGCAGTTTAACCGGGGTTTTCAAACTGGAGTGCAAGGAAAAGTTTACTGGAGAAAAAACGTAAAATTAAGAAATAATAAAAAATGGCTGAAGATGATCAGAGTAAGAATTATTGTTACATCTGTGGGAAACCTCAGTCCAAGTTAGCGTGCCATTTGAAAACTCATATGACTGAAGTTGAAGTTGTGCAGGCTTTGTCACTCCCGGTTCACTCGAAAGAACGTAAAGCAATGCTGCAAAAGCTCAGGAACAAGGGCAACTTTCAGCATAACACCGACGTTTTACAGTGTGGAGAGGGGGCTCTTAAAATAAAACGGGCACCAAAAAGAAAGTGTGTTTCAAAGCAGTTTGTGCATTGCATGTACTGCAAAGGGATGTTTGTACGGAGAGATCTGTGGCGTCATTTGAGAAGATGTCCCTCAAAACCAGCAGCTGACAGTGAAAACCAAGGGAGGAAGAGAGTTTTGGGCCTGGCGTCTATGGCTGAGTCTTCATTCAGTCAGCACATATCTCGAGGAGTTTGGAAACTCTTAGGCATTCTGAGATTCCTGATCATTATATGACTGGTTTTCTGCAGGTGTTCAGAAGATGCTCATTGAGAGCACCACTGAATGAAAATTCTGTCATCATTTACTCACCCTCCACTTGTCTGTGTGTTGTGTACGATCATGTACCTGTAAAACACATTGGTCCCTGTAATCCAGAGAACTGACATGTTTTGTGTATTGTAAAACAAGTGTCCTCATAAATCAGTCGGACCCTATAAATCCCAATTATGTAATAGGCGGGCGGGTTATAGGAGGGGCGTGGCTGTCCTTGTGTACCACCAAAATATCGTATTGTCATATTATCCATTCTATTGTGTGTAAAGAAAATCCAAAGTGATATTTGTGTTCTGCAGAGTAAAACAAAATTTTTGATAGTCTTATCATCTCTGTAGGACATGGGGAAAGGGGTGTCCCCTTAAACCACCATCCAACTGGTTTGGCCATCAAAGTCCTGCTAAACCACAAAAACCAGTGTGAGTGTGTTATAGCATGTGTTATAGTGTGTGTGTGTGAGACTGACCTCAGAGCAGTAGGGAGGAACGTTCAGAACGAACAGTGTTCGGTCCAGCGGTCGGTTCGTGTTGGACTCCGATCGAACCCTGTGCTCTTTAACACACAGCTGATGAAGAGCAGCATGAGCGTCATCCTCACTGAACCTCAGCGACAGCACTGCCACACACACACACAGAGAGAGAGAGACAGAGAGAGATCACTTCACCAGAACGCTTCGGTTACAGTGAATCAAGCGCGAGTCGACTCCAGCGAACCGAGTCGCGCACTCTCACGGGAGGCTTACTATCCTCTGAAGCGATTATAATAAAGGTTACCAATTTCTAAACATTAATGAATTGAAAATAAATGTTCCATTTTACCAGTAAATCCTCCAGGAAAGACACGCGCGTGTTGCTCTGCGGACGGCGCCATGTTCATTTACTGTTTACACGCGTCACCGGAAACAGAGACGCAATGGCTGATGGGAACTGTAGTTCTTATTCCAAGTCTTAACAGATGGTGAGTATATAGTCACTGGAAATCTTCATATTTGATTTAGGCCTCATGAGCGTCTCTTGTTTGTCTTTTACTTTAATATGTGTTTGTGATGTTTTTGAGTCTCTTCTGCTCACCAAAACTGCATTTATTTCTCAAAACCACAGTAAAAATCATGAAATATTAGAATGTAAAACGGCTGTGTTCTATGTGAATATCTGTTAAACTGTAATGTATTCCTGTGATGCGCAGCTGTATTTTCAGCATCATTACTCCAGTCTTCAGTGTCACATGATCTTCAGAAATCATTCTAATATGCTGATTGCTGCTCGAGAAACATTTCTGATTATCATCAATGTTGAAAACAGTCGTGCCGCTCAATATTTTTGTGGAAACTGTGATGCATTTTATTTTTTCAGGATTCACAGATGAACAGAAAGTTCAAAAGAACAGCATTTATTTGAAATAGAAATCTTAATTATTTTACTGTCACTTTTCATCAGTTTAATGCATGTTTCAGTTTCTTTATTATTTTACTGTCACTTTTCATCAGTTTAATGCATCCGTTTCAAGCCTGTGAATGATGGTGTAAATGTGAACGTAAACAAAAAGAAGTTATGCGAGGAATAACGAGAGACACACACGGCTGATTATAAAGCAAGATCTTTACTGAAGAAAAGAAAAGAGGCGTTAAAAGTGAAGCGGGAGCTGTGTGAACGTGAGGAGCTCCGCTCGTAGAAACAGGCGTCAGATCTTGATGCGGAAGGCGGTGGAGTGAGGGCCGCTCGTCTCTGCTCCGCTGGAGCCGCTCTGACCGGACGATTTGAACAGAGCCTTCAGGATGGTCTGAGGATCCACCTCCGGCCCTGAAGACGTCTTGGAGCCCGAGCGAGACGACGAGTCCTTCTGCGCTGGAGCCGCTGCGCCGGGCGAGTCGCTCAGCCTCCTGACACACAGAGAGAGAGAGAGAGAGAGAGAGAGAGTCACCTTCATCACCACCACCATCATCATCATCATCACACTGATGGAGGAGCGGCTCACAGGAGGATGGGCTGCTCTGACGTGATCACGCTGCCCTGCATGTGCAGGTTACACTTCATCGGCTGGCCTGAAACACACACACACAGAGAGAGAGATCAGTGTATCTGATGCAGGCAGAGGTGGACAGTAATCAAGCACATTTACTTGAGTGTTGTTCTTGTGAAGGCGAGTGTGTGAGTCTCACCGTCCAGGCAGCGGTTGTTGTACTTCCTGTAAGCACTGACTGCATCCTGCTTACGCACAAACACCACCTCAGCCACGCCAGCCTTCACCAGCCGCGCCCGCTTCAGCGCACCGCACACACAGAACAGCTCCTGCACACACACACACACACAGATTAAACACAGTCAGACGAGCGAGTGTGTGACGAGCCGCAGGCCTGAACTCACCATTATATCCTCCTCAGTCACTCGAGGGTGAAGGTTGTTGACCGTGATCTTTGTGCCCTCCAGAGGACTGAAGACAGGCTGATAAACACACACACAGAGAGAGAGAGAGAGAGAGAGAGAGATTAGCTGTACTGTTACAGTGTGTGTACCTGTGCAGGTGAGTGTGTGTGTGTGTGAGTATGTGTGTGTGTGTGTGTACCTGTGCAGGTGAGTGTGTGTGTGTGAGTGTGTGTGTGTGTGAGTATGTGTGTGTGTACCTGTGTAGGTGAGTGTGTGTGTGTGTGTACTTGTACTCATGCAGGTGTGTGTGTGAGAGTGAGTGTGTGTGTGTGTGTGTGGGTACTTGTACTTGTGCAGGTGTGTGTGTTACAGTGTGTGTACCGGTGCAGGTGTGTGTGTGTGTGTGTGTGTGTTGTGTGTGTGTGTGTGAGTACCTGTGCAGGTGTGTGTGTGGGGCCGCTGGTGTCTCTGCTGGTCTGTTGTGTGCTGACGGTGGCTCTGCAGACGGGCTGTAGGCTCTGTGTGGGGGGGCGAGCGGGGGGCACCGAGACTGAAGGAGGAGTGTAAGAGTCGTTCTTCACCACCTTAGTGATGGGAGTCGAGAGAGAGACGGGCCCCGCCTAAACACAGAGAGAGAGAGAACATACAAATACCAAAACCCAGTAGACTAGCCCATTACAGAAAATGAACTGATTTGATAAAATCCAGGCCATAAAAAAAACACAAAAGCAAGTGGAGCAGATGGCATCCTCAATGAAATGCTCAAGAACACAGAGCACAAGTTAAGACGGGCCCTACTAAAACTGTTCAACTTGGTTCTGAGTGTTGGTCATTTCCCTGAAACCTGGAATAGAGGACTCATAACGCCTATGTACTCTCACACACACACACACACGTGTAAACAAACACACTCATGTGTAAAGAGAGAGAGAAAGAGTATATGTGACGAAATACAGCTATTTGAAAATCTGTATCAAAACTTAATTTTTGATTAGTAATATGCATTGCTAAGAACTTCATTTGGACAACTTTAAAGATGATTTTCTCAATATTTAGATTTTTTTGCACCCTCAGATTCCAGATTTTCAAATAGTTGTATCTCAGCCAAATATTGTCCTATCCTAACAAACCATACATCAATGGAAAGATTATGTATTCATATTCCAGAAAAGAATCGACCCTTATGACTGGTTTTGTGCTCCACGGTCACATATATGAAGTACTTATTTTCTAAAACATGTTTTACTCTAAACCTGCTAGAAAATCAAAGCCATAAATCTAACAACGTTGTGTTCCAAATTTGAGGTTGATATCACAAAAAAAATGAGAATGTGTGTGTGATTCTCACTCGTGTCTGCAGGTGGTTGGCTGTAGTGATCTTCATCTGTTTGTTGGGAACCACAGCTCCATCATCTTCCTCAGCAGCAGCAGCAGCAGACATGACCTACAGTCAGAAATTATGGGATGTTTAATTATGGACACTCATTACTAATCACTACTGTCATCTGAGGCACTGCTGAGTATGAAAGCATTCATGAGGACTCGAGTCTCACCGGAGCGGCTGCACTGGGAACATTGAAGCGGATCCCGCTGGTCGTTCCCACCGGCCTCTGCTGCGCGCACACACACACAGAGACACACACACACACACCGTCACTGGCGTTCAGAGTCAGAGTCATGGTAACAAGCGTCGCTCATCTATCTGCTCACCTGGATGGTTTTGGTGATTTTCAAAAACGCTGCGCTCTGATTGGACGCCGTCGGGACGCTCCTCTTTAAGCTTAACCTATCGCGCACGTCCACAACTGTCGTGATCCCGCCCCCCAGCTGCAGGGCCATGCCCATTCTGGTGCTCTGGGGCCGGGGCCCGGCGGAGACGGGGCCGGTGTTGTGGATCTGGACGTGAGGGATTCCCGTGGGTTTGACGGGCGTGGCGCTCGGAGGCGGAGCCTGCTGCTGTTTGCGTGAGTTTAGCAGCTGCCGCGCGTCCTGTACGGCTCCGGCTCCTCGCCCCCGGATCCGGAACCGAGCGTCCTTCTGCCCCAGCTTCTCTCGCGCATCCTTCACCTGAAACGCTGCACGGACAGAGCGATGAACAACGCGACAGAGCCCAGAGTAAACCAGAGCTAGCGCCAATCGCAGGGCGCTTACCTCCTGTAGCTCCGCCCACTCCCAGCCGCTGTCTGACATCACCGCTGCCAATCATCTGACGGGCATCGAAGGCCCTGCCCACTGGCCCCGCCCCTCTGCCATATATGGGCCTGTGGGAGGGACAACAGCAGTTACAAACCAATGACCAACAGAACTCGAATTCGAAACTATTTTCCTTTATACTCGTATAGATGCATACATACCCATACTATATACGGTGAAAAACTGCATTGTACATTACATGTAATTTTACGTTAGTATACAGTTTTTAGAAGTGAAAAAGAACGTATAATTTACAGTGAGAAACCGTAAATTGACATTAAAAAGGAATGTGTATGCACATGTATATATATATATATATATTTACAGTGTACGCATCTGTTTTTCTCTGAATCAAAAGCACTTGTAGTCTCTCACGGCTGTCGATCGAAGGATATCGGTCGATACATCGATCAGTCACTGAGGGAACTCGCGTGCTAATAACAAACGCGCTCAGAGTTTCTGTAGATAATGTGAAAGATACGCAGAAATTAAATGAATGTAATGTACGAGGTTTGTTTGTAAAAGCAGCCGCGAACAGAAACGCGCAGGACGCCACGAGTCACGCGCGTCAGCCAATGAGAAGGCGAGCGTGAGCGCTGCGTGCGGCTCAAACGGCCGTATTAACCAATCAGCGGCGAGAGAAGGCGGGACATCGCGCTCAGCACCAGGAGCTACACGACTGCGTTTACAACGACAGAATAACGCTAAAACGCCCCGGCGGTTTAAATGAACGCCGTTCGAAGAATCTGAACAGATTTACCTCTTACTGACTCCTCTAGCGTTAAAACTGCGTCGACGAATCACTTCATCCAGAGAGAGATCCGCCATATCTGCGCTTGTGTGGATTCTGTGCGGAACGCAACACAGCACGCATGCGTTACGTACATATGGGCGGGGCAAAGCGGTGCGTGACGGAAAGCGGAAAGGGTCAAAATACACGCGGAACACGAGAAAACGCGAGAGCCGTATCTTATTCAATCATCACATAGATAAAAAACAACAACAAACATTTGAACTATTTTCAAAGTACCTCTGCAACTATTAAGTTTTTTATTATTTTTTACATTCTTTATATTAATGAATGTGACGAAAGCAAAACATTATATTAATGACGAAAGAAATCTAACCCAAAAAAGCAGGTTTTAATTTTTGGTACATTTTTAAACACAATTTTACACCTGAATTTTTTTTTTGTAACGGACATTCCCTGGAAGCAAGTTTGGTCATTACCTCACAAATACTTTATTACTAACAAAATGAGAGAAATTGAGTTAAGCTGATTCATAGAGTTTAAATACTGAAAGCGCAAAACTATTGTTTTTTTCATAACTTAACACAACATACATATATAGAGGATCACAGTGTTTTAAACTATGATCAGTTACGTTTTTAACAGCGTCAAAGGAACAAACTAAAGACAAAAGGCGCTAAGCTCCGCCTCCAAAAAGCGAGACGCGGTGACGTCACGGCCTATCCCACAATGCACCGGCCGAAGACCTCGCTCGAGCCACAAACGAGGCTTTTTCTCGCTCTGTACACTATTAAGTGCACTCGTGATGTGTGTGTGTGTGAGAGGAAGAGTGCCGGGTGTCATCGGTGGCCCGCGGGCGCACTGCGCGTTTATCGCTCGCTCCTCACCGTCGCGGAGAAGCAGGGCGCGCGGGAAGACCACCGCGAGCGCAGCACTCGGTGCCTTATGCCTTAAACTGATGAGTAAGGAAAATAACGACGCGGGGTGACGCCCGTGTCCTCGCTCAAACTCGCGAGAGGAATTTTTGAACGGGCACAGGTCCGTCTGCGAGGTGACTCACCTACTTTAGTGAGATGCCGAGCAGAGCCAGGATCTGCCCCGAAGCACCTGAACGAGTTAAACACAGAACAGAGCTAGAGCGCTACTGACGGACTGCCGAACGAGTCTTTTAGAAGCTTCGAATCAGTTTTACGAAATGATTCAGTGACTCGAAGCGACGCCTGCTGGTCAACAGTGCGTCAATGCAACAAAAACTCAGGCTTAAACATACATACAACAGCTTTTAAAACCCCATTGCACATGTCTTTTTGAATTTATAATGCATGGAAATCTTTAAAAGTACTACAATACCAGGAAGAAAGATCGGGTTGTTGATGTTTGCCTGCCATCCTCGCTCTGTCTGCACAGCTTGCGTGAACGCGCTGATGACGGTATGCAGATACATACGTTGACAGGCAGGTAGGAAAGCCAATTAAAACGCTCGGACCGAGCGTTTTGATTGGACGAACATTTCTTGATCCTACGCCTTCCACAGAATATATAAATACATTTAGACCACTTAACTTGATTGCAATCGGGATGTGAAGAGACTTTCAACCAGCATAACAAAAAATGTTTCTGAAGACAATCACCTATTGCACCTTTAATGGGGGCCAGCAACTGTTTGGTTACCAGTCATTGTCTTCATCTTTTGTGTGAACTCCAAACACAAAAGATAAAGGCAAACTCATACTGGTTTTGGAACAACTTGAGGGTGAGTATTTAACATCCATAATGACGAATATCTTGAGCACAAAGTATAGACTATTTCACCTGTGATTTTGCTACGGTCTCTACCACTTTCAGGCATAAACCTGCGTTCAAATAAAACAGAAAATCAGTATAAACAACATCCACCATTAATTGCTATATTCAAATATAATGTCTTTGAACTGTCCCTCAATGTCTTTTCCCAGCCCCTGATCGTTTTGGCGTTGTGTTATATGCAGTTGCCAATGGCTCGTCTTTGCACTTTTCCACATTCAAAGCATTGTTTAGCTAACGTTCAGATAAAGATACATAAATGCTCAGGCTGATGAACAGTATTTTTGTAAAGATAAAATCCCTAAAATGGTTCCCCAAAATGTTTTTCTTGCTTTAACTACGTTCAGGCTTGTTACCACAGGATTTGGACAACATTTAGGGTCACACTGTGACTGGATAGTTAAGTAAAAGCTACAAACAAATCACATAAATTTAAGCAAAAATCACATAAACTTCAACCTGTATGCATTTCTTTCTCATTCGGAGTTGTATTCAAAGTTTGGGTTGTCTTTGAAAAATGTGGTCCCACATTTGGTTCTGCTCCTATGCATGTGTTATAAAGATATAGTTAGTACAGTTAATAGAATGGAATGACCTACTCACACGCAGCACATTAATAGAATATGTAAACATTGCCAAATAATAGCTATTTTGTATAGCTATTGTTAATATTAACTTGTCCTATATTACTTCTGCTGGTTCAGTTTTGCCACTGTATTTCTTTTTAAGGGGCTTATTTTGGGAACACTATATCCTAATCATAATCCCACCAAAACCACACACACTAACGTTTCTAATGCTGCCTTCACGTGCTCTCGGAATTATCGTAAATACGAGTTTCCTAGGTAAACATTGCACATGAACGCCCTCCCATTTCGAAACTTTAATGCGATGAGCTCGTAATCACAACTTCAGAAGTGAGAATTATCACATTTCCGATAGAACGTGAAGGCATTAGGCCTACGATGCTTTTGGGAAACGCAGCCCTGGTTACTTGCGTGATATGGTTGAGTGAGTAAAGTTACGCGATTTTATTTTTAAACTACTTCAAGTTTGGGTTGTCTTTGAAAAATGTGGTCCCACATTTGGTTCTGCTCCTATGCATGTGTTATAAAGATATAGTTAGTACAGTTAATAGAATGGAATGACCTACTCACACGCAGCACATTAATAGAATATGTAAACATTGCCAAATAATAGCTATTTTGTATAGCTATTGTTAATATTAACTTGTCCTATATTACTTCTGCTGGTTCAGTTTTGCCACTGTATTTCTTTTTAAGGGGCTTATTTTGGGAACACTATATCCTAATCATAATCCCACCAAAACCACACCCACTAACGTTTCTAATGCTGCGTTCAAGTCCTCCTGGGACGTTCGTACTTATGAGTTGACGAGTCGTAATTGCGACGTCAGCTGCGTTCAAGTCAGTTTTAGTCGGCACAAGATGGCGGTGTACCTTCTTTAACGCCCTACCATTTTCGTGAACACAACGTGAAGGCGGCATTAGGCCTACGATGCTTTTGGGAAACCGAGCGGCAACCTCCTGCTCTCTCTCGTGAAGCCAACAAGGAAGTGACTTAAACGGTAATTCATCGACTGGCCGCTAGAGACTGGCTGCAAAAGGGAGTCAATCCCATAGACTCCCCATGTTAAAATGCCCAACTTTACAGCAGAAAAAAACATGTTTACAGCCTGGTTCAAAAAATTATTTTGGTCTATATAGCTAATTTTGCCCTTCATGACAACTGTGAGGGGGGTGAATTTTTTTATAACTCATCCGTTTAAATTATATTAAGCCTTAAAGTTCTGCATAATTAAGGGCGTGGCCACTTGAGTGACAGGTGGATTGCCGCTGCTGTCACCACCGTCGAGCTAGGTGGGCGTGGCTTCACCAACCTGCTCCCGCCTCTTTGCCCATTTTCGATTATCCGGGAGTGACGCGCGGTGACGCGCTGCCAAGATGGCGACGGCTGGCTCCGCCTACTTTAGGCTTCAAAACGCTCGTCGGAAGTCTACGGGTGACGTCACGGACACTACGTCCATGTTTTTATACAGTCAATGTGGGAAATGCAGCCCTGGTTATTTGCGTGATATAGTTGAGTGAGTAAAGTTACGCGATTTTATTTTTGAACTACTCCACCCTTCCTTTTAACAGCACACTAAATGCCACTTTAGAATTAAAACTTGTAATTAAGCAAATTAGACACAAGACGTAGCTGGCCTGTACTGACCATGCAGCGAAGAACAGCAGAAATTAAAACTTCTTCTTCTTCTTCTTGGTGTTTAACGGCGGATGGCATACAACTTTTAGGTGCATTACCGCCACCTACTGATTAGGAGTGTGGATCAGGACCGTACTCTTCACTAAATTCTATTATATAGTGATATTAAGAGCAGTATGGCCAAATCTAAGCCTTGAGATTATAGTTTCCTCATGTCTATTTCTTCATGTTACTCTGTACTTACCATAATAATTTCCATGAATGTACTTATGTGCTATTTGAACATTTGATTTGGCGTTCACTGAAATCACGTGACTTTGGCAGTTTGACAGGCACTGCTCCGGATCGCTGATTCGAAACGAATGATTCACAGAAGATTCGGAGCGTCGCGAAAGCAGCGCCCATCACTAATGAACACTATACAGAGGTTTCTGTAGTTAACACTGGGGCTGATCTGTTTTGAGTTTTCAAAAATAGCCTTATTTACTATAAGCTTAATAGAGATAAAACCGCCGGTAGGTGGCGGCAAGTCCCTGTTTTAGTAAATGATTGATTGAATCATTCAAATCAAACGATTCGTTCAAAACGGCCGATTCAATTAGAAACTAAGTGAAGTGAATGAACCGTTGAATCACCGGCTCACTCGATTCGAACCAAAACAGATTCATTCAAGGAACGAAACACCGTGTAGTATTTTATAACCAGTGACCATGCTTAATCAAATTAAATACGATTTTTAAAACATCTATCATTATTATTATTATGTTGAAAACAGCCGAGTAGAATTTTGTCAGGTTTCTTTAATAAATAGAAAGTTCGGAAGAGCAGCATTTATCTGAAATAGAAATCTTTTGCAACATTATAAATGTATTTTTCATCACTTTTGATAAATTTAAAGCATCCTTGCTAACTTCTATAATTTTTTTCACACACACACACACAAAAAAAATAATAATAAATGATTCAGACTCTTTCACAATATTACTGCTTTTGCTGTACTTTGGATCAAATAAATGCAGAAGAGCCGAAGATAATTCTTTAAAAAACATTACAAATCTTACTATTCAATAACTTTGGACTGGTAGCGTATATGAAAGCAATGTTTTCATTTGCGATTTTACCTATTGAAATATGACATTAAAAGGTCTCAACATGAGAATATGTATTCAAGGCAGCAGATACAAAGTCCTTTTAACAAATACATTTTGTTTGCTATTCTTTTGTGTGTTACTTTGATTCACTCTGCCTACATTGGAGAAGACTACATTTCCCATGATGCATCTCTCCAGCGCTGTAGCGGCGGCAGGCGCGTCGCGTCGCGTCGCTGATAACATCGCGCACAATGGCTGCGTCTCTGTCCCGTGCTCTGAAATTACCGGGTGAGTCATTCACTAATAGAGAATAAACGGTCAAATGATCCACTGATATTAGCTCGCGGCTGCTCGCACGCGGCGCTGCGGCGTTTTGTTCGGTGACGTCAGTGATGCGATTATCAGACGCGGCGTCGTTCCGTTATATCGCTGTTATAATGCGTTTAGCTTCTGCACGATCAGAGTGACTGATCCTAATAACCAGATATTTACTCGAGCGTCAAACAAACCGCGAGGATACCATGGTACATCAGGGGAGAAACAGTACAGTACCATGGTAAACGGAAAGGTCACGTGACCAGTGGTTTTTGTTGGGGGGGGGGGATTTATTTATTTTATTTTTCTTACAAACTTATTCTTTCAAAAAAAAAAAAATCAATAAAAGTCTTAAGTTTAATGACTGAATAATTTAAATGAAATGACATGTTGCACAATAATCAAATGGAGAAGCTATTGAAGTTAATACGACTGCAACTTGTTCAATTATAATAATAACAACAACTGTAACAATAACTATAATGTTAACTGTGACAGCTATAATGATAACTGGAACTATAACTGTACTGTTAACTGTGAAGATCATTTTAATAACTGTAACAATAACTAAAATGATAATTGTAAGATAACTTTGAAGATAACTGCAACAAACAGATAAGTAACGGTAACTATAATGATGACTGTAACAGTAACTGTAATGATAACTTTAAAGATAAGTGTAACAAAAAATTATGAGAACCGTAATGATAACTAACAATACCTGTAACAATAAATATAATGATAACTGTAACAATAACAAGCTGTAACTGTAACAATAACTAACGGTAACTGTAACAATAACTATAGTGATAACTAACAATAACTGTAACAGTAACTGTAATAATAACTGTAACAACTATAATGATAACTGTAACAATAACAAGCTGTAACTGTAACAATAACTAACGGTAACTGTAACAATAACTATAGTGATAACTAACAATAACTGTAACAGTAACTGTAATAATAACTGTAACAACTATAATGATAACTGTAACAATAACAAGCTGTAACTGTAACAATAACTAACGGTAACTGTAACAATAACTATAGTGATAACTAACAATAACTGTAACAGTAACTGTAATGATAACAATAACTGTTACAATAAATAATGATAACAATAACTGTAACAGCAACTGCAACAATAAATAATGATAACAATAACTATAACTATAATGATAACTAACAGTAACTGTAATAATAACTGTAACAACTATAATGATAACTGTAACAATAACAAGCTGTAACTGTAACAATAACTAACGGTAACTGTAACAATAACTATAGTGATAACTAACAATAACTGTAACAGTAACTGTAATAATAACTGTAACAACTATAATGATAACTGTAACAATAACAAGCTGTAACTGTAACAATAACTAACGGTAACTGTAACAATAACTATAGTGATAACTAACAATAACTGTAACAGTAACAATAACTTGAAAGATAACTGGGTTACACTTTATTTTAAGGTGTCTTTGTTACAGTGTAATTGTACGTTTAAGTACTGAGTAATATTAGTTAACTACAGTACATGTACTTACTATATGGTTAGGGTTAGGATTAGGGTTTGGCTTAGGGTTACTTGCATGTAATTATGCACCATTTATTGTTGTTATAAAAGTAAATACATGTAACATGTAACAAAGACACCTTAAATTAAAGTGTAACCGATAACTGTAACAAAGAAATTAGAGTTTTAGTGATAACTAACAATAACTAACAATGACTATAACGATAGCAATAACAAATGATAACTGTAACAATATCTATAATGGTAGCTTTAACAAAAACTGTAACAATAACTAGTAACTGTAATGATAACAATAACTGTAACAGTAACTATAATGATAACTAACAAAAACTGTAACAATAATGATGATAACTAACAATAACTGTAACAGTAACTGTAATGATAACAATAACTGTAACAGTAACTATAATGATAACAGTAGCTGTAACAATTACTATAGCGATAACTGTAACAGTAACTGTAATGATAACAATAACTGTAAAGGGGCGATGCGATCCGCGGCGTTCCTGCTGCCGCTGTCCTGCGCCGCTCTGCTGGTGCTGCTGTGTGCGTTTCTCATTCCCTGCCCACAGGGGGCGCCGCTCCGGACGCAGTGGGAGAGAGAGCTCGGAGACACAGCGGGTGAGTGACGCTCCACCGCATAACCCCTGAAATAAACCTGCAGCGCCAACATGTGCTCTTCCTCGCAGGCGTGACGTCACCTCCCATTGCATTGTGGGATGTGGATGGGGACGGACTGGAGGACGTTTTGATTGGCATTACGAACTTCTCCAACGACAGTCAGCCAATGAACGCACAGAGCAAAGGTGAGCGAATCAAAGCACTGCAAACACAAAAACTGTTCAATCCAGTGCAAGAGTTAATACGACTGCAACCCGTTCAATTATGACTATAACAACAACTGTAACGATAACTATAGTGTTAACCGTAAAACAACTATAATGGTAACTGTAACAAGATAACTGAAGATAACTGCAACAAAAAATAAGTGACTAACTGTAACGATGATTGTAAAAGTAATTGTAATGATAACTTTAAAGATATTTGTAAAAAAAAATTATGATAACTGTAATGATAACTAACAATACCTGTAACAATATCTATAATGATAACTAACAATAACTAGCTATAACTGTAACAATAACTATAGTGATTACTGTAACAGTAACAGTGATGATAACTTTAAAGATAATTGTAACAAAAAATAATGAAAAATAACTAACAATGAATATAATGAAAACAATAATGATAACTGTAACAGTAACTGTAGTGATAACTAAAAATAACTTTAAATGTAACAATAACAGTAACTGTAACAAGAAATAATGATAACTATAACAATAACTAACATTAACTGTAATGATAACTGTAACAGTAACTGTAATGTGTAACAATAACTGTAACAAGAAATAATGATAACTGTAACAATAACTAACAATGACTATAACATTAACTTTAACGATAACTGTAACAGTAACTGTAATGTGTAACAATAACTATAACTGTAACAATAACAGTAACTGTAACAAGAAAAAAAAATTATAACTGTAACAATAAAGTCCCTCCTTGCACTGCAGTAGTTCATCAGCGGAGTTTTGGCTCCGTGTGTGTGTGTGTGTGTGTTTAATCTCTCTGTGTGTGTGTTTAATCTGTGTGTGTGTGTGTGTGTGTGTGTTTAGAGTTCAGCGTGTTGGCTCTCGGCGGCGGCGGAGGGCAGCTGCTCTGGAGGAAGTTGCTCAGAGAGCCGCTGATCTCTGTTCAGTGTGGACTGCAGACAGGAAGTTCAGATCCACTGCACTCATCTGCCTGCGTCCTGATCAGCTCCGGTCACATGATCGCCATCAATGCCTCCACAGGTCTCTCACACACTCACTTACTCACTCAGCTGAACGCACGCGTGCATGCGTGCGTGTGTGTGCTGATGGCGGCTGTGTTTCAGGATGGACGTTGTGGACGACGGATGTAGGAGACGTGGAGTCTCACGCTGTTCTGCTGCCCGATCTACAGGGAGACGCCTTTCCAGACCTGCTGATCGCAACACTGCCCGAGGACCAGGTGACCATCGCAACACACACACACACACACACACACTAATTGTACTAATTTGCGGCCAATATCCACCTTACCGTTTATCTTGAAAGTAATGTAAAAAATTGTGCTCCTACAGCTTCAATCTTTTTTAACTAATAATCACATTTTTGAAATATTTAAATCGGGGTTCAAATCATTCCACCGCACAGAAACTGCCCTCGTGAGAGTTCTAAATGATATTTTAATGACTACTGACTCTGGTGCTTCTGTTATTCTACTTATGCTGGACTTGTCATCTGCTTTCGATACCGTCAATCATGAGATTCTCATTTCTCGTTTGCCATCTTATGTTGGTG